GCTGGAACTACAGGCGCATGCTACCACGCCCAGCTAATTTTTGATTGATTGTAGAGATGAAGTCTCGCCAAGTTGCCTAGGCGGGTCTCGAACCAGTGAGCTCAGGCAATCCACTCACCTCAGCCTCCCAAGGCGCGGGATTACAGGCTGATCCACTGAGCCCGGCTATATTATTTTTTTTAATAGGAATCTAACTCTGTTACCCAAGCTGAAGTTCGGTGGCATGCTCATGGCCACTGTAGCCTTAACCTGAAAGGCTCAGGTGATCCTTCTGCCTCAGTCTTCCAAGTAGTTGGAACCACAAGCATGTTCCACCACACCCGGCCAATATTTTGATTTATTGTAGAGACAAGATCGCACCAAGCTGCCCAGGCTGCTCTCTAATGCCTGAGTTCAGGCAGTCCTCTCGCCCCCACCTCCCAAGTGCTGGGATTACAGGTGTGAGCCACCATTCCCAGCTTATTATTTTAAAAAGGGAGATTGGTGTTAGATGTTTGAGTGGTGTCTGTCAGGATATAATTTTACCCTACTTAGCTAATACATTGTAGCCTATCATTACTGTTTCATGGAAGCTGGCAGAAGACATGAGACTCCTGGGTCAGTGATAAGACTATACAGAGCACAGCAAGCAGAATGAGCATCATGCTTTTGCTGGTTGATCTTACTTCTCCATCCTCTAGGGATTAGACCAAGAGGCCTAGAAGAATGTTGCACATTCAGTGGGTTGGCATTGTGGCTAAAGGACACTTGAGGCTTGTCCAAGGGGAGTGAGTTATATAAATTAATTGTTCACAATGAGTTACAGATTGAACTTCTTATTCTACTCTTTTTTTTTTTTTTGAGCTGGTGCCTTACTCTATTGCCCATGCTGGAGTGCAGTGGCACAATCAGGGCTCACCACAGCCTTGACTTCCTGATCTCAAGTGATCCTTCTGCCTCAGCCTCCTGTGTAGCTGGGACTACAGGTGTGCACCTCCATGTTTGGCTAATTTTTTTTTTTTTTTTTTTTTTTTTGAGTTGGAGTCTCACTCTGTCACCCAGACTGGAGTGCAGAGGCACGTTCATTGCCACCACAGCTTTGACTTGTTGGGCTTAGGTGAGCCTTCCACCTCAGCCTTCCAAATAACTGGAACCACAGGCACACACCACCATGCCTGGCTAATTTTTTGATTTATTGTAGAGATGTGGTCTCACCAAGTTGCCCAGGTTGATCTCGAACCTCTGGCCTCAGGCAGTCCTCTTGCCTCTGCCTCCCAAAGTGCTGAGATTATAGGTGTGAGCCACTATGCCTGACCTGACTAATTTTTGATTTTTTTTTTTTTGGTAGAGAGGATGTCTTGCTGTATTGCCCAGGCTGGTCTTGAACTCCTGGGCTCAGGCTGTTGTCCCACATCAGCCTCCCAAAGTACTAGGATTACAGGCCTGAGCCACTGTACCCAGCCTTGCTTTACTCTTTATCCCCTTCTCACTACCGCACATAACTAGTCTTAAAAAAAAAAAAAGGAATACTTGAGTTTGGAGCATCTACCTCTTTAGTAGGAGGCAGCAAATAAGCCAACTTTTTGTCCTGGAAGGAGATATCTTATTCCTCAAGGTTGCTTGCTGCAAACATAACCCTGAGAAATGGCTGGGGTGAAGAGCGGTCAGAACCTTGCATTTTTGGCATATTCAACAAGCATGTGCAGGGCCCATGATGTATTGTCTCTCTTGGCAGTACTAAAGATTGAGATGTTTCTTGAAATAACCACAAAGATTAGAAAAAATTTGCAAAAGGAATAACTCTTACTTTGTGACTTTTTTTTGGGGGGGGGAGATAAGATCTCTGTTGCCCATGCTGGACTGCAGTGATGTGATCATAGCACACTGCAACCTTGAACTCCTGGATTCAAGTGATATTCTGCTGCAGCCTTCCTAATAGTTGGGACTGCACCATGCCCAGCTAATTTTTAAAATTTTTTGTAGAGCCAGGGTTTTGATTGTTGTCCAGACTGGTCTCTAACTCCTTGCTTCAGGTTCCCAAAGTGCTGAGATTACAGGCCACTATGCCTCACTTTCTTTTCTTTTTTTTTGAGTTGGAGTCTTACTCTGTTGCCCAGGCTGGAGTCCAGTGGCACGCTCATGGCCACCGCAACCTTGACCTGCTGGGCTCAGGCGATCCTTCTACCTCAGTCTTCCAAGTAGCTGGAACCAAAAGTGTGCACCACCACACCTGATAATTTTTGGATTTATTGTAGAGACAAGGTCTCACCATGTTGCCCAGGCTGGTCTCGAATCCCTGAACTCATGCAGTCCTCTTGCCTTGGCCTCCCAAAGTGCTGAGATTATAGGCATGAGCCACTGTGCCAGCTGCCCCAGTTTCTTTTTTCTTTTTCTTTTTTTTTTTTTTGAGTTGCAGTCTCACTCCATTGCCCAGACTGGAGTCGTGGCATGCTCATGGCCACCACAGCCTTGACCTGCTGGGCTTCAGTGATCCTTCTGCCTCAGCCTTCCAAGTAGCTGGAACTACAGGTGTGCACTACCGCCCGGCTAATTTTTGATTTATTGTAGAGATGAGGTCTTGCCAAGTTGCCTGGGCTGGTCTTGAACCTGTGGGCTCAGGCAATCTACTTGCCTTTAATGCGAATTTTTCACATTAGTCTGGGCTTCAAGAGTGTCAGGTCAGTGGGTCAGCCAACCAAGCCCCAGAGATTGTCATGGAGGGGCTGGTAAGCCTAACCCCAGAAGTGTCAGCTCTAATGGCTGGCAAGCCAAGCCCTGAGTGTTGTGATTGGGGGGGCGGCTGGCAAACCTAGCCCCCAGGGTGTTGGCTCTAACACGCTGGCAAGCCAAGCCCTGAGAGTGTTGCTGGTTTGGTGGGCTGGCAAGCCTAGCTCCCTGGGTGCCTCAGCTTCGGAGTCTCACCTTCTTCCGGCAGCTCTCCTGGTTCAGCTGGCTCTGTCGGCTGGCATGCCAGCCTCTGGGGTGCACAGCTTTTTGACTCCGATGATCTTCTGCAGCTCTTCAGGGTCAAGGCTCTTGTCTCATGCCCAGGAAGAATGAGGGACATGGACAGGCAGAAAGTGAGAAAGCAGGATTTATTGAGGACAGAAAAGCTCCCACAGCAGGAGGGGACACGAAGGTGTTGCCCATCTGGGGCTGAAAACCTGGTGTTTATATAACCCTAAGTCCAAGCCGATTGGCTAGCACTAGCTGTGAGCTGTAGCTATTCTGATTGGTCAGTATTAAGGTAGAGACCTAATGGTGAGCTGATTGGTTGCTTTTTGATCCCAGCAGTGAGTACCTAAGTTCTAGCTTGAGAGGCTCGCAGGGAGCTTGTTAATGGATGCTGAGCCTGAGAGGCCTGTCAAGAGTTCGCTACATTGGGACCAGAGGACTCCACTGTCTGTCTGCCTAGCCTTTCTCTAGCTATCTCTTGTCTCACCTTGGCCTCCCAAAGTTCTGGGATTACAGGCTGAGCAACTGAGCTGAGCTCCCCACTTTCAATGTTTAAAAATTAATGTTTTTATTTTGTAGTTACTGTAGATTCACATGCAGTTGTAAGAAATAACACAGAGATCCTGTGTACTCTTTATCCAATTTTCCCCAATGCTAACATACCACAAAACTATAATGCAATATCACAGTCAGGATATCAACATTAATAGACACAGTTAAGATACAGAACATTTCATCACTGCAAAGATCCCTCTTGGTTTTTTTGTTTTGTTTTGTTTTTGAGTTGACTGGAATGCAGTGGCTGTTCCCATCCACTGCAGCCTCAACCTGCTGGGCTCCGGTGATCCTTCTGCCTCAGCCTTCCAAGTAGCTGGAACTACAGGCGCACACTACCACGCCCAGCTAATTTTTGATTTATTGTAGAGATGAGGTCTCGCCAAGTTGCCCAGGCGGGTCTCGAACCCGTGAACTCAGGCAATCCACTCACCTCAGCCTCCCAAAGGCGCGGGATTACAGGCTGAGCCACCGAGCCCGGCTTGCTGCTCTTTTTATAGTCATGCCCTCTTGTTTCTCCCCATACCCTACTTAATACCTGAGAACCATTAATCTGCTTCTTATTTCTGTAATCTTGTCATTTCAGGAATGTTACTTAAATGGAGTCATGCAGTATGTAACCTTTTAGGATTGGTTTTTTTCACTCAGCATAATTATCTGGAGATTTATCCAGATTGTTACATGTGTCAATAATTTGTTGCTTTTTTTGTTGCTGAATTGTATTCCATGGTTTAACAGTTCATTCATTGAAAGGCATTTGTGTTGTTACAGTTTTTGCTATTATAAATAAAACTGCCATAAACATTCATGTATAGGTTTTGGCATGCACATATGTTTTCGTTTCTCTGGGATAAATGCCTAGTAATGCACTTGCTGAGTTGTGTGGTAGTTGTTTAGTTTTATAAGAAACTGTCAAGCTGTTTTATGTAGTGACTGTATCATTTTATCTTCCCATCACAAGAGATTCAATGTTAGTTAGTGGACTTTTCACCCTGTTTCTACTTAAAATAATCTTCTATGTCCAACACTTTGGAAACACTGGGATATAGACTAGATCAGAGTTTCTCAATCTTGGCAGCACTGATATTTTGTGTCAGATAATTCTTTGTTGTGGGATGCTGACTTGTGCATTGTAGAATGTTTAGCAGCATCCTTGGCCTCTACCCACTAAGTTCCAATAGCCCCTCTTCCTGCCTCCAGTTGTGACAGCCAGAAATATCTCTAGGTAGACATGGTATGGCTCATTGTGGAGGTCCAGCCTCCGTAGAGCAGGGTCTAAGGTAGGGAGAGGGAATAAGAAAAGAAAGACAAAGAACAGCGGGATTGGGAGGTCTCTCTCCTCAATAGGTGAGAGCAAGTTTATTCTCATAGCATGTTTTTTATATAGGGCAAAACTACATAAACAAGAAATATCTTAATGCTAGCATCAGCTGGGAAAAAGCTAACGTTTAGGACTTTCCCTGGCAAGCTTACTATAGCACTGACATCTTTGTTTTCTAAGATTCTAAGTAAAACTGTTAACATCTGTGTTCTTTGAAGTTCTGAGTAAAGTTATTATCGAAGTAAGCTACATCCAGCCTACGCAGACTAGAGGTCACACCACCTGAATTCTACTAAATCAACATTCCCAGTGGCAAACATCGAGAAGAAAACACTGGCCAAGCTCTTGTTGGAGCCAGGCCAGAAACACAAGGACTTTGTCAAGCTTGTGTATTTTTAGGACATAAGGACCTTGTCAGTTTATGTTCTTGTTTCCTTCATCTTATCCCTGTAATCTCAGTACTTTGGGAGGCCAAGATGGGAGGATTGCTTGATCCCGGGAGTTTGAGACCAGCCTGAGCAACATAGCGAGACCTCGTCTCTACAAAAAAAGAAAAAAAAAAAGCCAACAGAGAGACAAGTGTGGTGGTGCACACCTTAGTCCCAGCTACTTGGGAGACTGAGGCAGAAGGATTACCTGAGCCCAGGAGTTTGAGACTGTTGTGAGCTGTGATTGTGCCACTCCTCTCCAACCTGGGTGACAGAGTGAGACCCTGACTCTAAATAAACTAACATGTTTAAGTACTATGCGTTAACATATTGTGTGTGTGTGTGTGTGTGTGTGTGTGTGTGTGTGTTATGTATATTGTCTTAAGTAAATATCCAGAGTTTTAAAAAACTCCCAGTTCTGTGAAATAAACTTTTCATTGCTGATGGGATAATGAATTGGTGCAATACCTTAGTACGCAGTGTGATAATATAAGAGGTCAGAAAGATGTTTATATCTAATTCTAGATATTTATCCTAGGAAAATCAAATAGAAATAAAATTACGTATACAGAGATGATCACTGTAGTGTTTAAAAGGAAAGAATTAAAAATAAATGTTCAGCATCTACTAGAGGAAACGTATGTAGAGGTTAAAAAATACATTTGACGGCCGGGCTCAGTGGCTCAGTCTGTAATCCCGCGCTTTGGGAGGCCGAGCTGAGTGGATTGCCTGAGCCTGCAGGTTCGAGACCCGCCTAGGTGACTTGGCGAGACCTCATCTCCACAATAAATAAAAAACTAGACGGGCGTGGTAGCGTGCGCCTGTAGTTCTGGCTACTTGGAAGGCTGAGGCGGAAGGATCGCTGGAGCCCAGCAGGTCGAGGCTGTGGTGGTGGCCGGGAGCATGCCACTGCACTCCATTCTGGGCAACAGAGTGAGACTCTGACTCAAAAAAAAAAAAAAAATATATATATATATATATATATATATATATATATATATATTTGAGTTGGGTGTG